GAGGCTCAGGTGCACCTGCCATGTGCTGTTGCCAAAACTACTTCTCTCGGTGGCAGGTCTGATGGCCTCTGCCCACCGGGCCATCGGCGTGTCTGGAGTGAAGGCTGCCCAGGCCATGGACAGCTGGGCTGAGCCAGGGGGCTGCACCGGGAAACTGGCTGGGCACCGGCCCTGAGCTCTTCCCCTCTGCCACCTAAGTGGTCCCTACCTTGCCCTATACAGTCGTGACTTCATCTGCTCAGGCTCTACTGTGGGCACCTTGGCACCCACTCCGCTGGGGCACGTGTCCTCTCTGTACATGGGGGAGGCCTGGTAGAGCCAAGCAGCCCTTTCTGGTGGATGCGCAGACCTGGGGGCAGCCAGGGCCCGGGCAGGCAGTCTGAGCGGCCCCTGCACCCTGCCACTCAGTGAGGCGTGCTGACCCCCTTTCGCACACAGGGCCCATTGTGGTGGCTCATTGGGATGCGGGGACCTGGGGCTGCAGCCAACTCTGCCTCCTTGCTGTACCAGGGCCCTGAGGACACAGGCTCTGGCTCCCTCATTTGCAAACCCTGGCCAGTCAGACACGAGGCTGCCGGGCCACCTGTTAGAGTGTTTGCCCAGCCTGGGCCTCCTGGGGCTTCCGCTCCTTCGTGGACAAGCAGTGACCAAGGACCATGGTGAAAGCTGCTGTGAGCCTTGGCAACTCCATGCCCAGGGGTCCTCGCCCCCGCTGAGGGGACACTGTCCACAGCAGTGGCCATGAGGAGGGCAAGGTCTGGCAGCAGCCACTCTCTGCGAGTGCACGTGCCAGCAAGGCCACATGCCTCCGGGCAGCACCCTGGGAGGTTGTTGGAAGGAGATTTTCTTGAGGAAGAAAATGAGGCAGAGGGGGTGCCTCTGCCTGTCCTACTAACGGGGGAAAGGCCAGGGTTCAAAGCCGGCTCCGCCAACTCCACGTGTCCCCAGCAACAGCCACACAGCCCCAGGTACTGCCTGCTCTGGTGCGGGACTCACGGGGCAGGTGGGGCTGCGCCTCCCCGGGCAGCTGGCGAGCAGCTGTGGCTCAGAAGCCAGCAGAGTCCTGGCTCCCAGTGTGTAATCCCAGCCCCAGCTGCCCTGTCACCTGAGCTGGTCTAGTGACGACTGCCACCTGGCCTAGAAGATTCCCAGCAAGAAGCTGCTCTCACAGCCCTCAGCACAGACACAGGACCCCCTGGGGGGTGGGGGAGGCAGGCCCTCACTATGGGCCGGAGCCCTGGGAGCCCAGCGCCCTCCAACAGGCCGTGCTCCTGATTTACCATCCGCCTCCCCTGGGCTGTGGCACCAGGCTGGAGCCTCCTGCACTGGGCACAAAACAGAGGCTAGGGAGGCTCCAGGAAGTGCAGCCCCAGGACAACATGGGCGCTTGGCACAGTCTGTGGTGGCCCCAGTGATGCCTGCTCCCCACCCTGCCCGCAGGGGACAGGCCCGTGTCAGTCGCCCAGGCGCCGGCTGGCTCCGGGGAACACAGCCCCCTTGTGTGCAGGGCGGGCAGATGTGTGGGGCCTAGGGCTGCACAGGAGGCCCAGGGCTTACACAGCAGGAGGCTGTGGGCACCCCTGGGCTTCCTGCTCCTCCCAGGAGGGGGCCAGGCAGGCCCCTGCTGACCCTGTCCCCACCTCACCAGCCTCTAATACTGGACCTTCTCAAAGGGGGCTTCAGAGTTGGCAGTGCCCTGGGCACCTCCCTTTGTGACACAGCTCTGCTCCAGGGTCAAAGTCTCCCGGAGGCCTGACTTTAGTGACACTTGGTCCTGGGTCCCAAAGTTCCAGCCTGCCATCCCGAGGCTGCCTGGAGGGGTTAATGAGACTGTGGGTGGAGGGGCCAGAGGGTGAAGGGGAGCTGGAGGGCCACCCCGGCCGCCTGGGGGTTCTCTCTGGCTGGGAAAACACTTCCCTCGGCCCCGGCATGGCCCTCGAGCCAAGTGGAAGTGAAACCTGGTGGCCAGCGGGGTCCATTGCCACGAAGGGAAACACCTCCTGAGCAGAGTGGCATGATACACACTCGAGGTCGCACTCTAGGGGGACCCAGAGCTGGAGGAGGGTCATGGGGCAATGGAGAGCGTCTGGGGAGGTATCTTGCTCGGGAGAAGAGGTGACAGCTTCATGGCACACAGGCCACTGCTGCTGTCCGGCCCTGGAAAACCCAGTGGTCCACAATCGTTCCCCGGAGACCCCGAGAGCCCCAGGAGCTTCCCGCTCTCAGGAGGGCTGCAGGTGGCCCACAGGGGACCAGGGCTGGGTAAGGCCCTGCAGGCCCTGGAGAGGCCGTGGAGCTGCCCCATCCCCGAGCTCCTCTCGTGAAGCACGTGTCCCACAGGCCAGCAAACTGGTCTCAATAGCCTCAGATCATCTTTCTGGAGCTCAGCCACGTGCAGGCTCGGCCGAGCACTTTGCTGCAAGGGTCTCAGTCCTCCCAGGAACCCTAGAAGTAGGTGGATGGGGAAATGGAGGCTTCGGAGGCCGATCACTGCTCAAGATCATAGCCAGCCATACGGGGGCTGCTCCGCGCTCTTCACACGGTGACAGGGCCGAGCAACCGCCCATGCTCCCTCAGCAGAGGTGGGGGACTCATGCTGTGTCCCTGGGCCCTGCGGACTAACCTGGGCACCTTCTAGGTGGCTGCTGGGCTACGTGGCTGTGGTTGTCTCCAGGAGACTGACCCAGGTCAATACAGACGTCCTCTTGGTCTCTGACAGGACCCCAGCTTCCCATGGTCCACCAACACCAGAGGACCAGCCTGACTGCAAATCAGGCCCAGACTGGACTGGGGCTTTGTTCACACCACAGGTAACAGAGGCTCAGGCTGAGCAGGCAGGTGCAGCCAGGAGGCTCCCACACCCCCATTCCCAAGGCTCCACTCGAAGCCCAGCTTTTACCCGCCCTCTACCCTTCGCAGGTGGTTCTGTCCCGCAGCCAGGTGGGGCCGCATCAGGGAGCCCCAGCCCTCAGGATACTCCTGCCTGCTTCCAGGAGAACCCGTCCTTGTTGGTCTCAGAAAAACCCACTGAGGAGCACAGAGGACCAAGGTCAAGGCTGAGGCCAGACGGAGCCCAGAGCTAAGAGGTCCAGAGCTAAGATGTCCAGAGCTGTCAATGCTGGACCCTGACACAACCCCAGGGACATGCCACAGGGTGCCCTCTCAGGAGACAGGAGACCCAGGCAAGGCAAGGAGACACTTCCTGAGAGGTGCCCAGCTCCAGGCAGGAACAGCGGCAGGTATCAATGCCATCAGTGAGGCCAGGTCGGGGAGGGGGCTTCCCCAGTGCCGTCCATCAAGTGTGGGGCCTTTCACAGACCACAGTGGCACCTACATCTGGGCCACAGGGTCAGGAAGTCGGGGGAGCCATGTGGTTGGGGCAGACAGGGGGCCACGGTTCCACAGCTGGGCTCTGGAAACCTGTGGGTGGGGGTCAGGGCTAAGTGGACTCTTGGGTCCACAGAGCTCAGCACAGGGAGAAGTGAAGACTCAGGAAGTGCCGCTGCTGTCCTCCTCAGAAGCCCACAGAACAGGATGAGTGGCTCTTCTCACCCAGCCCCGCCCTTGCCAGGAGCAGCACCCTGAGGTCTCAGGGCCCTGGCCTGCATGCTCCCCAGACTGTGAAGCAGGAAAAGAAAACTCTCAGGTCTCCTACAAAGTGGATGTGCACAAAGCTCGGTCTGGGGAGCAGTTCAGCGGACTGCAATCCCAGAGAATCAGGAGGCTGGGGTAGGAGGATAGCAAGTTTGAGGCCAGCCTCAGCAACCTAGCAAGACCCTGTCTCAAAAAAAAAATGTTTTTGTTTTAAGAAGTACTGGGATGCAGCCCAGTGGTAGAGCACCCAAGTTCAATCCCTGGTACTGCAAAAATAAATAAGAAATAATACAACACCTTGCCCAGTGCCTGCCATCTGTCCCTCGAATGGCGAGCCAGTGCCCACTCCATCCTCCTCCCACCATGGGCTCTGAGCATCAGCAATCCCTGGGGTCCTTCCCTCAAGCACCCCTAGAGCGACCACTCCATGCTCCTAAGTTCTTCCAGAGCATCTGTCACCTAAAGAAACCTGTTAATTACACTCTGTCCCCATCTCCAACCTCCTGAATAGAGAATGGTGGCCCTCTGCACCCAGGTTCAACCAACTGCCAATGAAGGCACTGTGGGGGAGAGACTGTGCCTGTGGAGACTTTTTCCTTGTCACTGTCTCCTGATCAATGCAGGACGACGACTCTTTACATTGCACTGCATCAGGGATTATAAACCCAGGATCTGAAGGACTCAGGAGGAGATGAGCTTATGCCCAACACTCCCCCGTTTCACACGAGCAACTCGCACCTTCCAGGGTCCCGGAACCGAGGGACGGCTGCACATCTTCCTCCAAACTGCATCTCCAGGGCCTCACCCTAACGCCTGGCAGTCGAGGGACCTTCTCTGGACAAACATGAGTAGGATACTTGAAGGCACAGAAGCTCTTTGAGGCACAAGCACGGGAAACCCAAGGCGGTGGCTCTTTCTCCAGCTAATAATTTATCCACTAGAGTCAAATAGTAAAGTAACTTATTATAAAACAATTTCTATTTTTAAAATCAGTCCTGCAATGAATCAGACTTAAGCCTCCTTGTGCCGCTATCACAAGGCCTCACAGCGGCACTTGGCAGGGACAGAAACGTCCTTCAGAGGGCCGGGCGCTGGCAGCGCGGCGGGCTCTTTCACTCTGCGCTCTCAGAGAGTGGCTTCAAGGACAGAAAGCTCTCATTCAGGCACCGTGGCCACCTCAAAGACCATTGATGACAGCAAACACAGGGTGTCTGTGGCCGAGGCTGCGAGGATGAACCACAGGCACAGCCAGGAGAGGCCGTCACCTCGGCAGACAGGAAGTCTGCAGTGTGAGAGTCCTGTCCTGGCTCTGTCTGTCCGCGTCCCTGTCCTGCCTGTCCTGGCCTCCCCCTCACTCCTGTCATCAGGAAGCTGCACTGGGCAGAGGATGGAGAGCCCTGGACACTGTCAACAAATTCACAGCCCATCCCACAGCCACCTCCTCTCTGGGCTCTGTAGGGTGACACGGAGGAGCAGGAAGATTCGCTCTGAGTCACGCCTCTGCTGTGCTGGCTCCGGGAATGGACAGGGAGCCCGCTGGGCGGTTTTGTTCCTGGGGCACCAGTGACATCACCACAGACCTGTCTGTCCCACAAGCCAGAGGACTGAGTCACTCCCAGGCAGACACACCTACTGAAGCTTGGCGCTGGTGTGTATTTTAGCCAGAGGAAAAACAGTCCCACCGGAACCCATCTCTCCCCGCCAGCTCACAAGTCCCCAGCGTGGCCCCACAGGGTCTAGCCTTCGACAAGAGGACAGCATTAAAGATGGGACCCGTGGGCCCAGAGCCTGCCCCCATGCAGTGGCACTTGCTGAGCATGGCCCTGGGCCAGGCATTCTGTCCTCTCCCGGGTGCAGTGGACAGCGTGGATCTGGACAGCTGATGGCCCTGGATAGACACCCAGCCTCATGTCTGTCTGCTTCTCCCTGATCTACTGGCCGGCTGCGTTGTAACAGGGACCCAGTGTGCATCACACACCAAGGGTGGCAGCTTCATAAACAAGGTGATATTGGAGTCAGCCCTGAAATAAATAGGGGTTCACAGGTGGGGGGAGGGGCGAGGCCAAGTGGCACAGTGGAGCTGGCACGGTGGCGCCAGGATGGCCGAGCGTCTCAGGTTAGCCAGCTGGGTTTCCCTGTCCCTCGGCCAAGCAGGCCTAGACTCAACCTGGGGGTTGCCACATAGCACCGTGGGACCCAGTGGCTGGGATCAGGCGGCCGGCAGGGCTTCCTTCACCAGGGCCCAGTGCGCTGGCTGAACTCGGGCCTCAAGGCCAGGCGGGGCGGGGGTTCAGCTGCACTCTTGCCCCTGTTCTGAAAGGGGCGGTCCTGCAGGACTTCCTGGCTGCCCTGGCCCCAGCCTGCCTGCCTCTCCTGGACAGCATGGGAGGGGCACCGCAGCTCCGCCTCCCAAGGCCAGCTGTGCCCCACCTGGGAGGGCCACCATCCGCTGACTCTCCAGCCCAGCTCTGCTGTCCTCCCCAACACGCTGGCTCAGCTCGGGCACAGGCAGGACCCAGCAGGGGCACTCTCTATCCCTCTCAGCCCGTCTGGCTTTCTGCACACAGGAAACAGCTGGCACCTCACTTGCCACAGCCAGGCAGGGGCCAGGCACGTCTGCAGTTCTCACAGCCCCTCACAGGGGGTCCTATGAGGCACCCCATTTTGCAGATGAGGACACTGAGGCCCAGGGCAGTGAAGTACAGGGCCAGGCCTGCCCCCGGCTCTTAACTGCAGGCATGTGCCTTAGCTCATGTCCCTCCGATGGCAGGGAGCGGGGCACAAGAATGATCTTAACCCTCTCGCAGGACACCCAAAGCTGCAGAACAGGCTAAGAGATGCACGGTCCGTGGGCCTCACTGGTGTGTCCTGGGGTCAGCGGGTAAAGAATGGTCAGCTCTGTCCCACTCTGACCAGCACGTGGCTCAGGTGACGCCCCAGCAGGGCCAGGTGGCCTCTAGCAGCCGGGAAGTCTGGCTGCACTGCAAGGGTCTGTGTGGGCGGGGGGTGGCCTCCCAGGCTGGGGTGAGCTTTCTGCTTTCAGAGAAGGGCCTGGCTTGCCTCAGCACATCCGCCATTGCCTGGGGATGGTGGGGAGGGGACGGCCTGTGGACATTCTGAAAAGCTCCCAGGTGCTTTTGGACTTGCAGTGTCCAGGAGTGGCCACTGGCCGTGTCACTGCTGAGCACCCCCCAGGTGGAGTCCAGAGGAGCATGAGCTGCAGGTGTCAAGTATACATGGGACTTGAACGACCTGGTGGGAGAAGCCGGCGCCAAGCACTTCCCCGATGTTCACCAGGATCCCACGGGCGTCACCCAGCACACTAGGTTAAACCCACCTCACCTGTCTGCTTTTCCTAGAGGCCACCAGGCCACCAAAACTCACACCTGTGGCTCCTCTGCTGCTTCTACTGGGATGTGTCAGGCAGCCAGGGCCAGCAGTCCTCAGTTGTCAATAAATGTTAATCTTTATAAGATCTGGGTCCTGCAGGGCTGCCCTGGAGGATGACCTATCACCCACTTCCCAGTGCCACTTCTACTGGCCCCCTCGTCCTCGCGCCTGGGCAGCTTTCTCTGTGGTCAGTGCTGCCCTGGCCTCATGAGCAGTGGCCAAGTAGCCCTGCAGGGGCTGTGATGTAAAGGGTTTCTCTCATCCTGAGAGGACACCTCTGGCTCTTCCTCCACTTCCTGTGGGGTAAACTGCCCTCCAGAGAGGCCAACAGCCCACAGGTAAAGGAGGAAACAGGACTCCACAATCAGCACGTCCCAGGCCTATCTGCCGGGTCCTTGGGCGTGCCATGCTTCAGAGACGGCTTTCTCAATAGTGGAGGCCCGCAAGCTATCTCAGGTATTCCGGAGGAAGAAGTGTATTCCGGAGGAAGAAGTAGGGAAGAGTGAACAATGGCTAGCTTTCTCCTGAGACCCTACTGTGTGCTAGGCGCTGCACCACGTTTTACATGTAGCATGGATCAGTTCCCTATGGTTGCTGTTAAAAAACTGCTAAACATCTTGTGGCTTAAAACAACACGAATTTGTCATCTTACAGTTCTGGAGGTCAGAAGTTTGGAAAGGGTCTCACAGGACTGCAAGCAACGTGTCAGAAGGGCTGCTTTCCTCTCTGGAAGTCCTGGGGGGCGGAGGCACCATTTCCTTGCCTTTTCCAGCTTTTAGTTGGTACCCATATTCCTTGGCTGCTGGCTCCTTCCTCCACCTGCAAAGCCACCCTTGGCTGGAAGAGTCTCCCTTTCTGACCTCTTCTCCATCCTCCCCTGTCTACAGTAAGAGATCCTTGTGATCCATTGGGCCCACCTGATCCATTGGGTAACCCAGGACAATCTCCCGATCCCACGGTCAGCTGTGAGGCAACTGAGTTTCAACTGCAACCTGAATTCCCTGTACAAGTCAGGTGCCATATTCACTAGTTTGGGGAATTAAAGATGTGGACATCTTTGAGGAGCCATCACTCGGCCTGCCACACAGTGTCTCTCATACCTTTCTGTGAGGTAAAAGGAATCATCCCTATTTTCGAGGAAACAAATTCAGGACTTAAGCAACTTGCCCAGGGACACAGGCTAGAAATCAGGGCTACCTGCCTACAGGCGTGTTTCACGAAGCCACACCATCGTGTTAGTGGTGCAGAATACAGGTGCTGAATTCCACAGTACGTGTGTGTGTGTGTGTGTGTGTGTTTTATTTGGGGGGGGGCACAGGGATACTGGGAATTGAATCCAGGGGCACTGGATCACAAGGTAATTTGATTTTTGAATTTTAAAGAACTTATTTATTTATTTATTGGCAGTACTAGGAATTGAACTCAGGGGCACTTTGTCCTGAGCTATACTCCTCAGTCCCTTTCATGTTTTTTATTTTGAGACAGGGCCTCGATAAGGTGCTGAAGCAGACCTGGAACTTCCTATCCTCCTGCCTCAGTCTATGACCCCTCACTGGGATCACAGGTGAGAGCCACAGTGCCCGGGTCTATTCTGCAGTATTCTGTATTCAGAATATAACAATGAGAAGCAGGCAATAAAAGTTTGTCCTTTCATTTTAATAAAAAGGAGCACTTATCACCGAAGGCACTGGGACACGGGGAACATAATGGCCTACATGGTGCCATAGCCACAAGCACTGGCTGCCAGAAGGAATTCCAACTGCCTCCCCTTAACACTCCTGAGAGCTAGACACACAGATCTGTGTGAGACGGGGCAGGGGGGTGTGTCCTGTCCAGAAAACAAACATGGAAGCATTGCTCTTCCTCCTGTCCCAGGCCTGAGAGCTGAGAGATTAGGCTGGTCGCTGGTGAGGACTTAAATTCTAAGCCAGCCCAGAGCGCCCCTGCAGCTCATGGAGCTGAGGCCCTTGTCAAGACAGGCAGCATGTTCCAAAGGGAAGCTGGTCCCAGGATTGGATGTGCTATTTTCTGTCCCAAAGAGGACACAGAAGCAGCAGCCTCAGCTTTCCACGCCTTTTCCACCAAGGGGCCTGGCTGGCAGCTCACTAGATATTTCTGGGAACGATCTAATTAAATATTAACTACTTACAAAGCCTCATTCTTACATCCCTCCATAAGTCACCTCGAAAACAGGCAAACCCATAGGTTAGATTTCAACTCCATCCATGCCTAAAAAGGATGAGTTCTGTGAGATTCACCCATTACAAAGTTCTCATTAAAAGTAACTCTTTCAGTCCCTCAAAGACTCAAAGAGCAAAAACAAAACAAAACAACCTGCCTTCTGTTTTCAGACCAGCCACCAAAATATGTGGTTCTGTGTCAGACTCTGTCTTTGACAT